TGTGTATGTAAGTATGTATGTATTTTGTGGCTGAAGATTGCATACAAGTCATGAAATTTCAAGTCCAATAAATGTTTATATTAATTTGAATATATATATATATATATATATGTATATATATATATATATATATATATATCAAGCCTTCCCAGGAAAGGCATGCGGTTTTTTGTCTCGTATGACCACACACGATTATAATATTTTAGAAAACATGAACACGGCCATTTGCAAGTTTTATAATAATGCTGATTTTTTTTTTATTTGAACAATGAAGATCAAAAAATATTGATTTATTTTACTACCTTTTACTACCTTTTACTATGTTAATGTGTTTTCTGTTATATTTTAAATACACATATATTTTTTTCATTTTGTGAACAATGATATTTTACCTTGTGTATGCAATTTGCTTTTCAACTTATTTTATATTTTGGATATCATTTATCTTTTCAGTGACTAATTAACTTAAAAAAAGTTACTTAATAGTAAAATGCCACCAAAAAAGAAGTTAAAGCTTACTTGAAATAAGGCTGAAGTATTTCTAGTAAAGAAAGTTAGAGAAAATCTTTCATGTTATAAACTTTTCTACAGGCATAGAGGTTTTGCAATACTACCTATATCTAAGAAACTTAAATCCCAAAGTAAAGAAAACGGCTTTAACTAGGTGTCATTTTGAAATTAACTCATTTGAGCTCAGATGCCCTCCACAAGCTGACTGTTGTGTAATGTCTAAATTGGTAAGGCCATGGAATTTTCCAGGATTCTCAATCATAACCTTGGAAAATATCAGGTAAATTATGAATTCAAAATTTATCAAAAAATTTATTTTCATCTTTATTTTAAACTTTTATTTTTAAGCTGACTGTTGTGTAATGTCTAAATTGGTAAGGCCATGGAATTTTCCAGGATTCTCAATCATAACCTTGGAAAATATCAGGTAAATTATGAATTCAAAATTTATCAAAAAATTTATTTTCATCTTTATTTTAAACTTTTATTTTTAAGCTGACTGTTGTGTAATGTCTAAATTGGTAAGGCCATGGAATTTTCCAGCATTCTCAATCATAACCTTGGAAAATATCAGGTAAATTATGAATTCAAAATTTATCAAAAAATTTATTTTCATCTTTATTTTAAACTTTTATTTTTAAGCTGACTGTTGTGTAATGTCTAAATTGGTAAGGCCATGGAATTTTCCAGGATTCTCAATCATAACCTTGGAAAATATCAGGTAAATTATGAATTCAAAATTTATCAAAAAATTTATTTTCATCTTTATTTTAAACATTAAATAAATTTTGCATTTTAAAGAAAGAAGATTGATATAATTAGGTAAAGGTAAACAACTATTACAAGTTAAAGAAGAATAGCAAAAGGAACAACCCAACAGATACAAAAAGGAATGAGGAATTTTTTGAAGAAATGTTAAAATGCTTTTGGATTAGTAAAAAAAAAGAACTAATTGAAGATATTATGAAAGACAGGAGAAGGACATCCAAAACCAAAAAAGAAGATATTGCATTTATCTTGGACCAAATTGGAAATAGGATGGAAAGAATAGGAACAAATGTTAAAAGGTTTATGTACACTATTAAGAGATCCCACGAAATATTATGTTCCATCTTGAACATGGAAATTAAACTAAGCAATGGTAACAATCTATACAGTTTAGAAAACTCTTCAATTAGTGATAATAATTCTGACTGTGAATATGTAGCAGATATAAAAAAAGAACAGTCTACCTCTGTTGTTTTGTTACCATAAAATATTTTTTTTAAAAACAACTCTCACAGCAAAAGGGGAAGGACTTTCAGTTAGAAAACACACTAAAATAGTGGCGAGTGTTATTGCTAATTCAGGAGGTGATGTTACTAATTTTGCATATCTTGGAAGGAAGTTCCAAGATATGCAAAAGGAAGGAAGTTGTAACTAAAGAAGGAGAAAAGATTAAAAAACACATTACTGATCTTGTTAAATCTTCATCATTACCAATTATTCTCCATTTTGATGGAAAAATAGTTAAAGAGTTCACAAACGGAATAGAACATCAACTTGACAGACTTGCTGTTTCCATCAGGATAGATGGACAAAGTGAGCTTCTTGGAATTCCGCATTTGAACTCTTGTACAGGAGAAACACAGAAAACTTCATCAATTTGATATTTTTGATAAATTACAAGGATGCGTTTTTGATACAACTTCTGTAAATACTGGTAATAAAAAGGGTGTGTGCATTAGATTAGATGCAGAGCTTGATAGACCTCTACTTTTTGTAGCATGTAGTCATCACATCTATGAAAGGAATATTATTCACTGCTGGAACATTTAACCCATTGTTTAAAAAGCTTAAAGATGTATAGAACTCAATTGATAAAAATTATATTGTGTTAAAGTAAAAATTGAAGATATTTCTGAATATCTGAAGATGTATCTCCTTCTAGACAACATTTCTAGCTTGACAGATTTCAAGAAGATATAAATGATATGGTATTCTTCACAGGTGTATTTTCACTGAGTGGTTAATAAAGGCTGAAATTCCAGCTGTCGATCAATATTAGGTGAAATTTCTATGTTTTAAAAGTTTTTAATCATTTTATAACTTTTTTTTCTTTGAAAGTTTTGTATAATATTTAAGAGTCTAAAAATCTTAAGGATATGAAAGCTCTTTGGCAGATATGAGATACTCAAAAATCAATCCTGTCCAGCCAAAACCTGTTATAGAGTCTCTAAAGAAACACACCTGGTACATAGACCCAAATATTTTAGTTATGTCTCTTGTTGACAAAAATGTAAAAGAACGGAGTGACATTGCCAAGAAGTTGTACTCAACCCCAAGACCTACAACTCATGCCATAGAGAGACATCAAGTTAATTTAAATATACTAAAATCCTCTATGTTTAATGATGATACTCCCCCAAGTTTGACCTCGCTTATAACTGACCAGAGTTGGTTAATTTTTCATATCTTAAACCATGAAAATGCTAAAGTACAGAGGCTTAAGACTCCATCTGAGACATGGGATCTAAATGACTATTACCTAGAACTCAAACAATTTGTGAATAATCTTGAAGTAGTAGATGACTGTAGTGAGAGGACTATAAAACTAGTTCGAGTATCTATTTTTTACGTTTTGTCCTTACTGTTTATATTAAAAATCTCAATTTATTTCACGAGCTCATTACTTTTAAATATTCTTTTATAGAAGTTGATCAATAAATCGCACAATGAAGATAAAAGACAATGTACCTTTCTTGTATCAAACAAATGTAAGAGTGAAAGAACAATTTAAAAAAAATCTAACTATGTAAAGAATTCTTTGTTAACAAAATAAATTTATAAACATGAACTATGTTTGACAACTAATTATTTCAGAAACTAATTATAAATATGATTTTATTATGTAAATATAAATATTTTAATATGTAAAGTATCTTGTTAACAAGCAGAAAATTTAGTGCAAAAAAGCTTAAAAATGCCTTTTATTAAATTTTTTGATCTTTATTGTTCAAGCTTAGCATAATATTTTTATTTCCTTCAAAAAGATAAAACAACAAAAAAAATGAAAAATTAATTTGGATAATGGTAACACTTCACTCAGTTAGTCCAAAATATGGGCAAAAAACGGGCTAAAAACAACATTTGGACCCATGAGGGAAGTCATGGAGTGATTTAATCATTAAAAAAATTTAATAGTAATATCAAGGTTGGGGCACCTTATAAAAAAGCAATGCTAGTTGAAATTCAAAAAAATTATTATTATATATATATATATATATATATATATATATATATATATATATATATATATATATATATATATATATATATATATATCAGGCTTGGACAGGAATGGCGTGCAATCGCACTCTTTAACTGACCACGCTAATATCTTTTTTCTTTACAACTTGACCAATGCTATTTTGACGTTTTAACAATTTAAATGCAATAAAAATAGTGTTATGTTATAACTTTCAATTGTTGATCTTTTCTAAAGTTTTTATTTTATGCGAAGGCTTTGAATAAAACCACGAAAGTAATTATAATGACTGTTTTTACATAAATGCATGTGTAAATTAATAAAAAAATATTTACATTTATTAAACAACCATTAGTTGTAATTTGTTACCTGTTTAAAAGCATTTTGCGCAGCTTTAATAAAACATTTAAAAAGATAAGTTTTAATAACATTTTTTTAAACGTAATTAAAAACAAAAAAAATGGTTTTCCTTTAAGTTAGTTTTTATTTTTGTTTAGTACTTATATAATTTCTTTTTTGTAAAATTTTATTTTTTCGTTTTTTTTTTTTTCAATAGTTTTTTTTTAGCTTAGCGTTTTTACATTCAGCGCATTTCTGAAATGTTTAAATCATCAAAACATATAAACAAACATGGTCATATTGTCAAAAAATAAAACCATTTGCGTGGTCAGCAATATCGCGCTCGATTGTACGCCATTTCTGTCCAAGCCTATATATATAAATATATAAATATATATATATATATAAATATATAAATATATATATATATATATATTATAATATATATATATATATATATATACATATACATATATATACATATATATACATATATATATATATATATATATATATATATATATATATATATATATATATATATATATATATATATATATATATATATGTATATATATATATATATATATATATATATATATATATATATATATATATATATATATATATATATATATATATATATATATATATATTATATATATATATATAGTTAATTAGTAAGACTTTCAGAAAAGAAAGTATGTATATATATATATATATATTTATATATATATATATATATATATATATATATATATATATATATATATATATATATATATATATATATAAAATACATAATAATAATATTAATTATTATTATATATTACTATTACATATAAACAGTATCTACTATATTAACACACATAAAAGCATACTTTATGAATATATAAAAGCATACTTCCAAAATTTGATGCAACGTCTTTTATTTTATTTTCTTTCTTTTTTTCAGTTTCATTTCTAGGTTCCTCTGATTCTATTTGTTCCACAGAACTGGTATTCTCTTTTTGATCATTATTACTGACATCATGAACTCCTAGCCACTTCCACATAATTATGTCATATTGTAGTAAGCAGTATTAACTAGATTTAAAAATGCATAGAGATTAACGATAGCCTTATGCCATTTATAATTTTTTAAAATGCACTATTTTTAGAAAATATTTGTATACAGCCGTATCTGTTAGCGCTTGACTAACGAAGGAAGTTATGGGATAATAGTTTAGTTAGACGAGATTGTAATAAAATCGCATAATCTTATTTTTTTTTTCGACGTAGTTGTTTGGTTTTTATGAAGTGCATAATGGTGCATTATTTGATTCCAATTTGCAAATCACGTGGTGTCTGCCTCAAAAAAAATAATTTAATTTCAAGGCTAATTTAAGAGATTGGCATAAAATACGTTAAAATTCAGACAAGTTAGTCTCAATAAACTACGTCAATTGTGAAACTAGACAATTTGTTAGAATGCTGGTTTATAAAATTGATCCGCTAATAAAGGAACTTCTTAAATCATCAAACTTAACAACAATAAATAACAACAATCAAACTTAACAACAAATAATTTAGCAGATGACACAAATTTACTTTTATCTTGTAAACTTTTAATATGTTTATTACAAATATGATAAAGGAGATTAAAGAAGTTTTTGTTTGTTTCAAACTAATTCTAAATTTTAAATATATAAAAAACTTAACACTCATCTATTCATCTACAAAAAGGCAAAAATATCCCCATATCAAGCCGGACCTTTTAATTAATAATATAATTTAAAAAAAAAGAAAAAAGTTTCAAAGCTTCTCGGAGTATATATATATATATATGTATATATGTATATATATATATATATATATATATATATATATATATATATATATATATATATATATATATATATATATATATATATATATATATATATATATATATATTATATATTATATATTATATATTATATATATATATATATATATATTATACATTTAATTTTACAACTACAAAGTATTTACAAGTAACTAATCACGGATTGGCGGTAAAGATAATCAAATATAAATATCATAAACATAAAGTTCAAAATATACGAAGTAAATAAAAATAAAGTTGCAAACAACTCCGAGACATGTATAAAATAAATACCAATTACAACTATATAATAACGTGAACGTAAAAATAATCCGAGAAATATATCTCTATATTCATCCAATTAAAATAAAAAATACAATTAATAAATCTGCTGATTTTTCAGAGAAGTGTTTAGATATTGGCAAAGGTCTTGAAGTAATCATATAAATAATATCTTAGGCGTACTTTTTTTTTCATATTTTTAACGGGGGTCTTAATCAGTAATGATACATATATCATTACTGATTAAGACCCCCAAAAACGCTCAATACCAAAAGTTACGAATTTAGGGGTCGTCCATGACACTCTATAGGGGGGGGGGGGTTTGCAAAGACAGAGGAGTTGTTACTAAGAAGTTACAAATTTATAACGAGGGGGGTTAGGTGTCAAAAACTATTGAAAATTGCGTGACAGAACTTACGGACAACCCCTTAGAACGGTTTTTAGATTCCCCATAAAACATTGGAAGTTCAAGTAAACGAATTTGCGCAAATGTTGAACGACGTTTTTATATATTACAATTAGTGTGTGTCTTTATTAATCACTTAGGAATAATTATACAAAAATGTATTAATTTACGGTCATTTGTACTTATCCCACAAAAGATTTGTTTTAAAACACCATAAATATTACATAACATAAATCAGTTTAGCTACTCGCGTTCCAATACTTTTTAAACATTCTATATTAAAAAGTTTACGCTCGGTGTAGTTAAGGCGATTTACAAAATATTCGACTACTTTTATTTGGAATTAGCATGGTTTAAGCATGGTTTTTTGCTTAAGATTTTTCTAATATTTAAAGAAACTTTTCTTTTTTTAATATAATTTCAAAATCTTTTTACTACCCGTAATAGTGAATCTAAAGAACACTATTTTGGAGTCTTTAAATCAATTCCGCTTATTGGCATTAACATGAATTTAGTTAAAATCTTTTGAAAAAGTTCCTTATTTTACTACTGATCCTAGTTCTAATCAGTTCTGACGTATATTAACTATATATAGTTGCCAAAACACAATATTTCTATCAATTTTCACAAAAAAATACAAGAATTCAAGAAAGAGCTTATAATTATGGAAAACTGTCAACAAACAATCAGAACAGATCTTATTGTTAAACTATAATGTTCATTTCACCTAAAAAATGAATTAATATAAAATCTTATTCAAATTTGGACGAACGATTGTGATTTTAAGATTTTTTTTAAAAAAGAATCTTCGGTCTGGGTTTTTTCGCTGCAAACATTTATATTTTATGATACCGCCAAATTTATCATTTTAATCTTTTCATAATTCACAGACCAGATTATATAACGGAAATACTTCGTAGTCAACAAAATATCATACAGACGCTATAATATTTTATAAGTGCCTTAACTACACCGAGCGCCTCCTTCCTTACTGTGACGCAAAATATGTCCAAAGCTTGTTTCGAACCTGGATCTCCTGCTTATAAAGCAAGCGCTCTAACCACTGCGCCACGGACGTACTTGACGTGCCGCAACGCTAATAAGAATAGGACGCTTGAAATTACTTTATCAAATTTTTAGTTTTTTTAATGCTGTATGGCTTCTGTGTTGCAAAATTTATATACAAACTTTACAAATCTTGTATTCGTTTTAAACCATATAAAACTATGTATATATTTCAACAAGGACTTGAAATAAAGAAATGGACAATGGAATGCTTGAAGAGAGAAACATTTCCTTATAAGGACTATCGAGAACTGTTGGAGCTTATTTATTTTCTTTTTTTTATATATGGACATTTCAAAAAAGATCTGCGTATTCGTACGCCGACTCTTACCATTATGCAAGATTGATGTCGAAAACCATTTATCGTCCAAAAGTATTCCTTCTCTCCCGTACGTTTAAGCTTTACGAGGAAGTAGAAAAAAGGCTGAGAGAATGTAAATCAATTGATTTTGAAGGTACAGAAGAAACCATCAAGTCCATTGAACGACACTTAGGATACTTATCTGAAGAGCTGGTAGACTTTTCCTTGTTAGACGACTTATAAATGACTATGATGGGACAGAAACTCATAAACACACCAATACCTAAAGTATTCACTTTTTAAAAACAGAAGCCTCCGTTTATTATTTGGGGTGATAATGAAAAACCTTTTTTATTGTTTTCATTGGCAAAAATATTTTTTCATTGAAAAGTTATTGTCAGTATAACAAGTATCTAAAAAACGTCTGCTTTAGTTAATATATATATTTATTTTTTGGCGTTGATATAATGCTGACTAGGTCCAACCAAGAAGGTAATCTAAGTTAAAGAAAAATATGAACTTCATAAAAACATTATAGCAGCATGAAGCGATAGAGGGATATCAACATTAGTTTTTCAATTTATTCGAACTTGAAGTTGAGAGCGTCACGTGAGAGCTTTATTTATTAAGCTCGGTTGAATTCATTCAAATTTGTCCCAATATCGAATTTGTGTTATCAAACTCAAAGTAATCAAATTTAAATTCAAATTACTCACATTTTTTCAAGTTCAAATTTGTTTTTTTCAAATTTTTTCAAATTAATATCGAAAATAACTTTTTTTTATTTAGATAAACTACCTAGTATAGGTTAAGAGTGGGTTTTATGACTCATCAAGGGTGGGAGAGGGGAGGTCTAACAGAAGAGACGACTGAACAAGTGCAAATTTTATATTTGCGAATCAACATAAAGGCGAATGTTGTAACTGCGAACTAACGAATTTACGTAAGAGTAAAGCACTTGCAAACACTGGCATAAGTGCGTTAAAGTAGTTTGTAAACTTTGGTTTAAGTAGGAATTAATTGCAATAACAGGGATAAGTGCAAATTGGCATCAGTGTGAAATGGCATAAGTGAGCCGAAAGAATTTGCAAAGACTGACATAATTGTGAACTTGCATATGTGCAAAACAGTATTAAAAACAGACGTAAGTGCGGTTCAGCATAAGTGTGCTGAATCTGAAGATTCACTCATTAAAAATTTTTTTTCTTTTTTTCTTTTTTAGGTTAATACGGAAAAAGATTATACGAATTTACAAACCTTTAAAATTGAAATACAGAACGGGCGCGGATGTAAAATAGGTATCAAAGACTGAAAAAAAATATTTTAATTTATTTAATTTTTTAATATATTTGCAAGCGCAAATATAATTTAAGAGCTATAACTCAGTATTTATTATTGGTCGTCATTCTCTCTGAGTGAATCATAAGCATTTATCTCTTTAAACAATACAACATTGAGATCGAGAATTTATGAAATAACATGGGAACATAATATGGGAATAGGTTGAAAAAAACGTCGATTACTGGACAGTTTACCCAAGTTAAAAACATTGTTCCTGATTTTAAACAATATTTTTAAATATAAACTTGACAAAAGGAACAAAAAAGGAACATTTTCAACGTTTTTATATAAAACCAATCACTGTTTACGCATTGTATGATAATAGTTGATGGATTTCTATCTCTGTTGCTTGAAGAGATTCCGGCTCATATGGTTGAAAATACTGTAGTTTGAAGGTTGGATAGACTTTGAGGACTGACAACCAACTTTCTTTTATTTCCTTTACCCCCTCTCTTACCAAAATGAATTTTGGCTGAATCTACGACTAAGACATCAGTTGTTTCATCCTGAAGAAGTTCCTCTTCAGCATCCTCCTCTGCTTCATTCTTGTAAAACTTTGCGGAGATTTTAACCTTTAGCAAGTTGTCTTTATAGTATACTAGCATATGGATATTTTCTACTTCAAGCTTTGTCCTTCTGTAGGTTACAATTGCACTTCCATATGAGAACACTCGTTCAGGCTAGCAGACCAGGCCACCGAAAGAGGGGGCACCGGGACAGTTGTTCCCGGGCGGCAGATATCCAAGGGGCGTTAAATGAAATGTAGGTACCTAAAAAAAAAAAGGTCCTTCATATATAATATAGTCAAAATTTGATAAATAAGGGCGCCAATCAGGATTGCTGTCCCAGGCGGCGTGAATGCTCGCGGCGGCCCTGCTAGCAGACGATGTCTGAATTTAATATTTTGTCAAATGTATAAACAAATTAAATAAAAATAGACTGGGAAAAATTTTCAAACAGCTAAAGTTCAAAA